TTTTTTTTATTATGTTTTTGTTCGGTTGTCATCGTTTATTAGACAGATATGTTTCATTGACATTTCGAGCTTTCATTTAAATTTGCATTGTGTCGTTAGGTACAGTTAAGTTACGCGGATCTATGCGTAACACCTTGAATAGAAATCAACTTGATTAAATCTTTCTTTGTAAACATTTTTGTTGGTCATTATATGACCCTTCGATGTAGATATGCTGTTAGCTTATTCTCTTCTACATGCATATGATGAAATATGAATATATGAAGTCTGGAGGAGATGGTCCAAAACGCGCATAGATTCAATTCGAAAAGAAAAGAAAAATACAAGAAGGTATCGTTTAGCACACGTATACACCAATCTCGTATAACCAATCTTTTTAGAAGATTGACAATATTTTTCATTTTCTTTAACATGAAATACTTATGAAACATCTTTGCCGAGACGACTTCCTCAGCATCTTCAACTATAACATCTCTTTTTTTTTTGCTTATCATTTTTCTCTACCGTTGAATTGACATTGTGACTCCATTTTTGCAAAGCTTTTTTACTGCGTCTTATTATATACTCTGGTTGTTTTATTAGGCGTCTCTCTGCAAGAATGAACAACGCATTCGATAGAAGAGAAAGAACCGTTTTTGTATCAATGATTCATAAGTCAATCAATGATGACAGACTCTATGAGTTGCTGAGTCAGGTTGGTAATTTTGGAATTGTAGTCAATGTGAAGAAGCGTAACTTTGAGGCTTTCTCGTCATTTTCAGGCTGGGCCAATTGAGAAGGTCATCTTCAAGGAAAATCCTGATGGTTCCTTGTTACATGCGCTTGTGATCTTCAAGAATATTGAATCCGTTGTGTTTTCAATGCTTCGCTTGCAGCCTTTGATGCGAAATTCAAAATTAGTCCAGATTCGTCCGTTACGGTGTGTGTGGTAGCAACAATTTCATATTTTGTTGAACTTTCTAGATGGAACTATTGGAATAAAAGAAACCATGGTGCTTCATTTTTGGTTGTTAACGATTTATTATCTCGTATCATGCGCTATCCCATTTGCAGAACCCCAAAATTCAAAATTATCGTTTCGCCCGAGCTTTGTGAGGGG